AGTTATAGAGCTATGACCTCTGCAAATCTATATGCTATTACAAGAAGTAATATGCATGCCCCCTTCGCTCGTGTGAACTAGAGTCATCCAGGAGACTTGGTCACAATTAGTTAATCACAGCTTACTGGTCGAGTTAGTTATCTTCATCATGCACTCTAAGCTATACATATAGGAGAGTCATTAATAAGTCCTTTGACGGAGCTGATCACTCTACTTAGGAACAGAGCGGGAAAGTTAGTTTTTGGATCAAATGGAGTTCATGCTCCAAAGACACTGAACTGTTAGTATGGCAGGTACATAGTCAGTAGGGAATTGGATATAGGCTGCAACTACCCAGATGCAGAATATAAATATTGAGGTACCTCCCTAGCTTTAAGTCCATCCTCCGTCTCCGCTACACCTCTGGCAATTAAAAACTCAACACCATGAGTTTCATCGTGAAACTATTACCACTTCCTGCCCACTCCTGCCTTTAGCTTCGGCCTAGGGTAGTCTGGCTCTTCCCTTCTCTCACGCCCCAGGTATTGACTTTGGTCTACCGTCACAGGGCCCTTTCTCTCCTTGGGGGTTGGTAGTTTGAAAGCCCTCCTTAGCTGGCAGGCTGGTGGTGGTATCCCTTCCACTACAGTGACGCTATCTCTCCCAGAACAAGGGACTACATGAGAGACACGGTAAAACACATGCTTTGTTCTGCCTAGGCGGCCGTTGATGATCTTCTTTACTCCCCCTGTCTTCTCCTCCCTCCATGCGTGGTGGGGAGTCCTCTCCTCCTCTTATGTTGGCCTCACTTAGCCTTCTCACAGTCTGCAACCCCTTAACCACCATCGTCAGCCAGCCAGGACTACAATTGCAATAAGGGAGAACACCCAACAGGCTACAGTTGATCTCTCCATTCTCTTGTTCCCCTAAGAGGCTGCCTAGTCAGACACGAATGCAATACCAATAGACAATGTTTAAGGTCTTTGGGTCTAACCCTCCGCTCTCCTCTACCTACGGTCAGATCGGCTGGCACCCTACTGCTACATCTTCCCCTCCCTGCGGTTATCGCCCACGGCCTGCTGGTCTCCTCCTTCCCTCCATGGTATTGCACTGCCTCCTGCGAGTAGGTCTAGAGGGGGCCCCATATCTTAGCGCGCTTAGTCCGTCGCTTCCCGCTTGAATGAGTGGACTCACCCTTCCGGTCCTACTTGGCTTGCTACTAACCTTTCTTTTGTCTTTTTGGGATTTCTCAGCGGGTTTTCCTGGCCCTTCCTGCTTTCTTCTTAGTTAGGATTTCCTTGTTCGTCCCTCTAGCCGTGCTTGGGTTTCTTTTATTTGAGGCGAGATGTGCGGTTGGCTCCATATCAGAGGGGCTTGAGGGGTTGGCTTTTTCCTGTGGCGAGAGGAGGGATATGGGTTTTTTGTCATCATAGCTAGTGCTCCCTACGTTTTTTGTACCCTAAACAAATAATCAATAAGTCAAACAAAAAAAAACAAATCCCTAGCTTTAAGTCCATTCTCTGTCTCCACTACACCTCCAGCAATTGAAAACTCAACACCATGGTTACTATCGTGGCTTTCATCATCCAGCACCACCACCCGCCCACCCCATCTCCCTCCATCTAGCCTCGGGTACAGGAGGTGGGCTCGCTTCCCCTCTCCCTTGAGGTCTTGATTTATTTCTTCATTCTCTCGATTCCATCTCTGGTTGGGGTTGTTCATCTTCACAATGTTTGTCCTCTTCCTATCTTACCTCGCTTAGGTGTTGGCACAGTCGGCAACCCCCTTTTCCTCCTTCTACAGATGGCCAGGACTACAGTTGCAGTAGGAGAGAACAGCTTACAGGCCACAGTCGATCTCTCCATTCTCTTGCCCCCATAAGAGGCTTTCTAGTCCAACACAAACACAGTTACTGATAGTTGTCATTCATGGAATTGGGTCTACCCCTCCTCTACTCTTTGGGGCCTTTTTGGCTGGCAGGTGGTGGGATTCCTTCCACTACAGTAATACTATCTCTCCCAGAACAAGATACTACTTGAGAGATGCGGTAAAATACCTGCTATGCTTAGGGCTCCTCTCCACAGTTGGATCGGCTGGCACCCTACTGCCACCTCCTCTCAAGCTGGCACCTTACTGCCTCAATTGTCGAAATGTCTCGCAGGACACACGCTCACTAGCATGCCTGCCACACCCCTCCTCTGCTCACTTCTCGGTCACTGCCTTTGGGGTGGTTTCCCTTATACTCTTCGCGTCTGGGGCTTCAGCTCCCTCCTCCTTGCTCTCGTTATATGGCCTAGGGCTTCTTTTTATGGGATTTTGAGTTGTGATCGTTGGCCCTTAGGGGTTCAGTTTGGGTTACTGTCTTTAGGTGTTTTGCTCTTGGGGTATTGGTGGATTCTTTGTTCACTGTCGGGTAACTAGCCTTCTTTTGTCACTTGGTAGTGGGGGTTATTGGGTGGAGCAGTTTACAGGAAGGATTACTGGTAGGAGTAGTTTTATCTACCCCAGAGGGTTTTTTTAGCTCTATCGTTTGGCCTGGACTGGAGGGGGGCGGTCTTTCAGACGTCATAGCTAGCACTCCATATACCTTTTTGTCCCATAAACAAAAATTTAAATGAGTCAAACAAAACATCCCTAGCTTTAAGTCTATCATCAGCAACCGGAGAAGAGCTCTTATCAATATATCTGTTCTACTTTACTTCTATCTTTACGAGCCTTCTTAACTATCTCTGAGACAGAAGTTTACAGGGTCTAGTGTACACTCACTTGACTTTAGAGTTACCTACTCCCTAACAGCTTGGGTTGCTTTTCCTTGAGGTGAGATGTCTAGTTGGCTCCATACCAGAGGGGCTTAGGGGTTTGGCTTTTTCCTGTAGTAAGAGAAGGGATGTGGGTTTTTTGTCATCATAGCTAATACTACATATACCTTTTTGTACCATTAAACAAAATATAAAAATGAGTCCAATGAAAAAAAAATCCCTAGCTTTAACACATCATTAGTAACCAGAGAAGAGCTCTTATCAATATATTTATTTTACTTTATACTTCTATTTTACAAGCCTTCTTACCCCTCTCCAAAACAGAATAATATTGGAACTAGTATATACTTACTTGTTTTTAGAGTTTACCTACCCACTAACACTTATTACCAGTATAGCAAAAACAAAATTCTACCTTCTTCTAGTATTAATTATGTGACTATAATAGATTTCTTACTCTTAAGTACTTAAAGTTAGCCAAATATAATTTAGAATACATGTCTGCTTTGTTGAATTTTCTAATTGATTTCATATATATGTTCTCCTTGATAATATCGGATATTCCTCTACTTAGTATTATTTCTAGTTCACGGACATTACTATAGCGGAGTATGTATTACGTATATTTCATTGACATTTCTTGATACGATTAGAAGATTATGGTGTGCTTTTCTTATCTGGTGTTCGGGTTTATTTCTTACATTTTATGCATCATCATGCACAGTCATCAGTCATTTGATTTACAATTATGTTCTAATTATCCGTTCATACCACCTTAGATTTACACATGTTTTATGGGATTTCCTTGGCAGTTCTTTAGGGTCAAACATGTTCGCACTTATGTTTTTCCTACTTATGTTACGGTCAAACACGTCGACACTTATGTTTTCCCTTACATTTCCTCTTAGTTACGCGAAGGATGCGCACCTGTATAAATAGGGGTTACCACCCATCTCGCTTAAGAGAATTAAGGACAAGAACTACTACCAATCTACCTTCATACAAAATTCCTCCTCGCTTAGTGTGCCCGCAGTATACTCCTTCTACTGTGTCGTATTTTCGTACAAAGTTATTAAGATAGTGCCGTACCGTACACATTTGAACATGCTTTACAGAACTAATAACTGAGGCAGCTGAGATATACTTTCACCAAAGACAGTTGAGATATACTTTCACCAGAAGTAGTTTGGTTACCTATACCTAATATATTGATCCTTTTTATACTGTTTGTCAGTTAAGGTGGAAGAGATACTTTTATAAGTAATTAAACACCCAAATATTTATCTTTGTCTGCTTTCCAGTACTAAAACTAGTAGATCTCTACAATTTGTTATCTTTCAGATTCAGACTCCTCTCTTCTTTTAGGTTTCTCAAAGGCAGCATATACTTATTATTTCTTTTTTCCCAAGATTGTAAGCCTTGTCCTCTATTAACTCTCTGTTTGCTAAACCATTTAGTTTCCTCTAAGATACATCCCTATTATAAATTATAACCAAGCAAGCACATAGTTTCACATAACTTCAGTACAAGTTATGAAATCTCTTACAACTCATATTTGTAATATTATTATTTTATTTTAATTGATTAAGTGCTTAGTAACTCACAGTTGTAAGGTCTACTAGCCGATCTACAAGTATCCAGACACCTTGGCGCCAAGACAGGGCCACTGGGTGCCAAGGCGTCCGGATACTTTAAAAATCAGCTAGTACAGTAGTGTAATATTCCCACATGACTCAGATTATAAGTCATGGGTTTCGTACAAGTGATGCAATTAGTATCCCTTAGAGAGGTGAAACAACGAAATTCAGTGCTTCCG